TCTGAATTTAGTAGAATGTTATTATCTTCATTATTATCATAGCTATTATTATCAATTATTGAAACATTATTAATCCAATTATCGTCAGCCAGTAAATTCTCAAGCATAGAATTATGATTTTTATCACCTAATTGAATATAAAATAATATATTGGGAAATAAATGATTATAATTGTACAAATATTGTGTTTTATAAATTACTATAAATAGTAACCTATTTTAGCTTCTGGAGATAAATTTCCATCAAGGCTAAAAATATTTTCAACAGATTTTTTTTTACACACATTAGTTGAAATATCTTCTTCTGCAGCATTTGTTTGTACTTTGTCATTTTCTAAAACTTCATAATTATTTTTATGTAACACATTATACATAAAATCTAATACAATATAATATTATATAAATTAAATCCTTGCATTTATAATAATCATTTGGAAAAATAAGAAAAATATACTCCTGCGTAATATATTACTTGAAAATGTTGGAAATGGTGGAAGGCCTGTTTCACTTTCACTATTGCTACAGCTGCTGCTGCTATTTTGAATGGACTCAGAACAATATTCAATATTGCTATTCTTCTCTCTTTTTTTAATAATTTTTTTACGTTTTTTTAAAACTTTTTTTGGTAGGTATGATTCAGCCTCGGTAGAAGATTGTGTTAAAAAATCATTGGTTAATTTTGAAGCTTCATTAAAATTAGTCAGTAGCTTTTTACTTAACACTTTTACTTTACAATACTTCCAATCCTTGGAACTTTTTGTAGGTTTTAAGCAACTTTTGATAGCTAAAGTTATTTTGCTGGTTGATAATGTGGCAGGCCACACACATTTATCAAAGTTCACCATCCAGCAACTTGGTACTGTTTCGATGGTATTTTCATTAATAAATTTTACAATGTACCAACCGTTTTTCTGCATATTCCTATAATTAAATTGTAAGAAATATTATAATGGTTTTATAGTTTATATATAAGTATAAGAATATTCAAGTGATAATAGTGTTGTTTTCTTAAAGATAGAGAAAGTCAATATTTAGATTATAAATATTTAATACCTATAATACACAACAATTAATAATAATAATAATAATATATACATTATATACATAAATACAGGAGGTTTTTTTATTCAGCGTTCATTAGTATGAAGTAATGGGAATACTAGAAAACTAGAATTAAATGGTAAACGAATTAATTTTTGATGTATGAGAGTAATAGGCCAATAGGAAAAATGTTCATTTAAATTATCAACTAATTCAATTCCAATGATTGATGAAGGTGAAGGTTTTGTATAAAAATCTGTAGTTCTGTTATACTTTTTACCAATTACAACAGACTGATTAATTGTTTTACTGAATGCAAAATTGGATATTTCAATAATAGTAGAACATTTTAATTTGCAACACGAATCTTGAACATTTTTACTAAGTTTAAAATTAGAAAACACTGCTTCTTTATACTGTGGGTCACACGTATCATTGATTAAAATACCACTACTATGTTCTTTTTCTAACTTTATACCTGATTTTATTTTGTGAATAGGTAATACTTGACAAGTATTTATTTCAGATAATCTACGTATAATTTGTGGTAAAATATCATTATGTTTTCTTAACACTTTTTTAATTTTTTGTAAATAGTTTTCTGACGTGAAGTTACTAAAATTGTTAAGATTACCAAATTTTCTTGCATCATCAGTTAATGTAATAAATTGTGGAAATTGTGAGACATAAATTGTGGACCATAAATTAATTTTGTGCAAATAACAAAATGTTTTAATAGTTCTTCAGCATAATCGGTCATAGTCTGCATGTGTTGGTCTGATAATAATATACTAATTGAAAAGTGTAAAGTTAAAAAATGATCATATTTTTTTTTCTCCAAATTGTTTTTTAAAACAAGAACACCAGTATATAAAATAAATTGCCGTTATTCGGTAGCTTTAAAACGTTTAGCTTCCCTAAGAGCTCTAGGTTTCCTAACAAATTCACAGGGAATAAACTGAACCATATTTATTAGTGAATCTGATATGTCCTTAACTATTCTAGCTGGTAACTTGTGTGGTGGTGGTCCAAAACACCAAGTGGAAACCAGCAACTTTTTTACAACTCCTAGACAAATTAAATGCATATAATCAAGGGGAACTTCTGTCACGAGACCTATGTTTGGAATCTTTTCTAAAATTGTACGGCCAGTATGATGATCTGCATCAATTTGATTTATAAAATCATTATCACTTCTTTTGGTAAATTCAATTTCAGGAAAACAAACAGAATATATATATTCTCCTTCTTGTGTGCATTTTGAACAAGATGAATATCCACTATGGCCTTTTATAAATAAAACACTCGCCTTAGCAACAGCATCAAATAAGAACATACTAATTTTGAAATTGTAATGATTACCAGCAATACTTATACCATTCAATGTTAATGTAATGGCTTCATCTACAAACTCCTTCAAAAATACATTAAAGTCCGATGGTTTTTCATAACCGTGATAAATACCAACACAAAATATATTTAAAACTAATACATTAATATTATTTATTAAACATAGTATTGGGTAAACTTGACTTGAAGAGGACTTACTGAGTGGGAGCCCATCAATATTAATAGCAACATTTATAGTATCAGGAATATCAGAGTAATTTACATTTTTTAGCATATTATTAATACCACTATTTAATCCAAAATGATAATATTTTCCCGGATGAACGTTGCGCAAAATTGTTTGTCTTGGAGTTTTTAAAAATGACCTAGGATCTTTTGGAATATTTTCAAATTCTGGTATTTGCCTTTGAATTAATAATAATTCACCTAAGGCTGTATGAGTTATTCTATTCCTAATAGCCCACTCTCTTAATTGATCAGTTATTGATATTTTTTCGAAGTGGGCGCTGTGGTTATTTGAGTTTTGACTGTTAAATGAAGTAGTAGAATTAGATCTATCCAATAGGGATAATGTTTGGCAAGCAAAATTATTATTTTCAGAAGAAATTTGAGATGAAATACTAAGTAGAATAACATTATTTTCCTTGAAAAGTGTATCATTTGAGTAGGTATTATTAGATAATGTATCTTCAAAATTAAATTGAGTCTGTGCACTTGAAATAATATTGGAACTAACAGGTAAAGTAACAGATGTTGTATTATTATGTTTTCTTAAAAGATCTAAAGAATTAAGTTCCTGTCTTATTTTTTTATTCAATTGAGATTTTGATAAACATTTTTTTTTTCTGAAACCATTTCTTGAATTATCCATTATATTGTATAAGTTATACCTAACTAAAAATAAATAATACGATCAAGACAATAACTATATAATTTAACAAAAGCTTATCACTTAGCTTCTTTGTTTTATTACTTATAAGTTATAGGCATATTCTTTAGTTAAATAATTAAGTACCACGAAACCAGGCGTAATAGGCATGGATAACAATTAATATTTCAGAATAACTAGCTCGATGACAGTGATTATTTAATAATTCGGATTATGAATACGACCATATGGATTAATGTTTTATATTATTTTATTTATTTATAATATTAAGTATTATATGAAATTGAGTCTGTATTAATTAATACCTTTGTACCTACCTAGATTATATTGCATGTTATACCTATACTCACTAAATATAAAATTACATTACATAATTATTTGTTATTTATAGGTATTACAATTATGATCAATGATGTTTTTACTTACATAATTTTAACGACGAATGACCTAACTATTAAGCTCAATATTGTTAATCACGTTGGACTGCAATGATGTTTTTATTAACTTACTTTAAATGTCAAATTGTCAAATATAGGTATATCTGTATTGCATGTTATACCTATAATACTCACTAAATATAAAATTACAATACATAATTATTTGTTATTTATAGGTATTAAAATTATGATCAATGATGTTTTTACTTACATAATTTTAACGACGAATGACCTAACTATTAAGCTCAATATTGTTGATCACGTTGGACAATGATGTTTTTACTAACTTACTTTAAACGACGAATGTCTAAAATATTAAGCACTATTATGTGAATAACGTATTCAACTTAAAACAATCAATTAATATTCATATACGAAATAATAGTATATTATGGGCTGTCCGAGTCGGAGTGACGTGACGAGTGATGGACAACGAATAACGACACTGTACGCCTATAGTACTGTGGTAGCGTGTGACTGTGTGAGTGAGTGAGCATTATCGGATTATCCGTATCGGATCCCTGAAGCATGTGAATCGAATATTTGGGTAAAACCGACCGTTTTAATATTAAATTATACCTATTTATAGTAAATAGTTCAATAATATTATGCCGCATAATATCATAATCATAGATATTATAACAGTACGATTATAAAAATACCATGTGTCCATGTATAACAAATTTACAAATTAATAATATATTAATTCGTTAAATTTAAACTGTTCGAGAAGACGTAGCAAATTAATTTGTACAATTACGATGTTGGTACATAATATTTAATTAAAACACTTAAAAGTCTATAAATTTAAGTAATATTGTAATATAGGTACCTAACAAATTATTATAATAATAGCTACGGTATAATGCTATATATATCATATAGAGTACCTATTTAGTTTAGTCATTAATTATATAATTATAATTAAACAATGGTATTGACAAACAATATAATAATATTCTTGTATTATCTATGAACAGTAATATTATTATATTGGATAATCTAAAAAAATTAAAATCATATTATTCATTGATTATCCGTAAAAGATTATGAAAAAAAAATTAGGAATGTATTAAGAAAAAATGAATATTCCTTTATCGTCCTTTATCATAATATCCATAGCATGTTCTCAATTAGATAATCTTTATAGAATATGACAATATTATGAATAAAATAACCTTAATTGAAATCACCTAATAAAATTAACTAAAGAATATGTTTAGAATATTGATTATTATTATTAATAGAATACCTAAATCGAAGATTGAAGGACTGTACTATGAATATCCCGTGCTAGTTGGGATATTTGTACAAGTCTGCTAGGACTAAATATTCCAGACGATGTAGCGAACTGCATTACAGTTTTTTACTTTTCTTTCTATTAGGGCCATTAAAATGTAGTGACGATATGAATAATATTGTAAATCACTCTAAGACGATTATCTTACACACCTTATATCGTACATCGTGACACGTCATGATGTCATTTTTATATCGTGCGTGTCAGTGACAACAATTGACTATGTTAAATTTTCGGCGTACCTTATTTTTCTATAAACGGTGATGGGTCTAAAAAGCACTAAAACGGATGGTAACCAATACGGTACCAGTACGGTAAATGATTGTATACCGAAACACCATCATACGTCATAAATCATAATATATAAATTTATAATACAGGAATCCGCTTTTTATATCCAATATCGGATTACTTACAGACGCTGTTATCTAGATGACCACTCAACGCGGGCAATGACCAACGATGCGTATGTGATGATAAACTTTTACGAACTTTCACTTTTAATTTTCGATTGTATATAAGTATACGTACCAGTGGAGTGCTAAGGTTTTGGGAAAGGGGGGGGGGATAATTTTTTTTGACTATTCTCACTTATTCTCAGCTACGTTACATATAGAGCAAAATATGCTTTTGTAATATATTTTACAAGACAAAAATAAGCCGAAGTATACAGGATGATCCAACAAGTATGCTCACCCCTTTTTTCTTTAATAATGAAGTTTTTGAAAATCTGATTTTTGGAATCTTTAAATTTACTTTAAGTCCATATTTTCATACTCATGAGATTTTTTGTACTACTTAAGTAGTGTCCTGTGGCGATACAAACTTTTGTTTTTCAAATAGAAACCCCACTTTTTTACTGTAAATTATTTAGCGGATAATTTTTTTGAGAATTTTGATGCATCGAAATCAAAATTCGAACGAGTAGTTTTCTAGTTATTACACATTTTGTGCTAAGGATAATATAGTTTATAATAGGGAAGAAGGATATGCTTATATACAGTATACG